TGGCTTCTTTGAAGAATCAACTGAAATTTCACCTTTTGCAGAAGGCCTTTCCTAATACTTCTCCATCCCTCCTCTCCCCATGCCTTCCCTCTGAGATTACTTCCCATTTACACTGTTTATATCTTATATGAACATAGTTATTTGCATGTTCTCTCCCCTATCAAAATGCCCTCTTTGAGGGCAGGGATTGGATTTTTGCAAACCCATACCTCCTTCTCCAGCCTCCCAGACTTGGGTGTCTCCAGTGAAAATATACTGTCTACCCTTGAGGATCACCAAATAAAGGATTGATCGCTTCTAGCATTGACTAGCTCAGCACTTCTTAAACTATGGGTCATGACCACATATGGGGTCACGAAAAATTTGGCAACAGTAAAAGGTTTCTGGACATGCATGACCAATAATTAAGTAAAAATCAAATGGGTAGTGAATCCAAGGTGTTTCTGGTAGTGCTTACCCATGCTGCACCATGCAACTTCTCTGTAGCCTTGGTTCTGAACACAAAGCATGTGCACTTTGCACTGCATGTGCCCTCAGGCCACGCAATGCCAACAAACACTGCTTAACAGTGAAAAAGGGTCTTGAGTGGAAAAAGTTTAAGAGCCCTAGACTAGCTCACCTAATTCTTCTTCCAAGTTTCCTGCAAGTTGCCAGAAGCAGACTACATATCAGCATCCAGCACAGTCCCTGAGCTTAACAAATCCTTATTAACTGAGTGACCAAAACCAGAGGGAAAGAAAAATTTCACACAACAACTCAAATATCACACAAAGGACTTGTGCTTCAAAGTGTTGATAGTGACTGCTAGGCCAAATCAGTGTGAAGTAGGCATGAGACTGAGTAGGCATTTTCAGGAGGAAAGCTAGGGTTTCCCTAGTGCCTATGATATGGAGCTGGGCAAAGGCTGAAAATTGTCTTAGAAGGGCAGGTCTAAGGAATACCAAAGTAAGCTTGTGAATATCCATGTGGGGAAGTTAATATAGGCAGCCCTGGCTCAACTAGTCCCACAGCCCCATCACTGCCCCTAGAATCTCCCCAGGCCTATTTTGTCCATTCTATACCTCATCAATTTCAGCTGGCACTTCTAAAGAGTCTCCCCTTCATCAGATACTCTCCTGATACTTTAGAGGCATCACAAAAAGAAGGAAATCAATGATGAATTCACAATCAAACCTGACGATGCCAGATGCTGATTCATGCTATGACTGTGCAAACATTTCCTTGTCTCCTACACCATCTCAAACATGAGAAGGGTTCTTAGACTCCGAGTCTCTATGGAGTATGGATGTTGATTTTATGGGATGTGTTCGACCACAGAAACTTTGAAAGATCACCTCTAGCTATCAATAAAGCCCCACAGGACTTGAAGCTCCAGCACAAGCCAGCACACAAATCTCTTCTTTGAAGGTGTGAGAAGAAAGACAAAGAGGGTGATGTAGGAGTCCTTCAGCATGGCACTAAAGGCTGATTCAGATATGGCTTTTGCTGTGTCTCCCTAATTTCTTTATTTCACCCAGCCTTTTATTATTATTAAGGCCCAGGTTTTATTCCAAAAGATTTAACGTTTGCTCTTTATCATGTTCTGAGGAGCTAAAAGAGGTTTATCTATTAATGCCACGGCTGAGAGCTGTTAGTCTCCATTACACACACATACCCAAAATCTCTCTCTGCAACTACTACTCTCAGATGAGTCTTATCAGCGAGAATTTGAAGAAGAAATACTTTGAGCCTACTCTCTAATTCCCCATTCAACAAGATCTTTTGTTGTGTTCCATGTTAATAGGAACTGGGTTGCATCAACACACATCTGTAATACAAATGCAGAGGCAGTGGGGAGTAGTGTACAGAACACTGGACTCGGACACGAAGATGTGGTTTCAAATCTACCTTGGACACTTAGTAGTTGTGTGATGTGGGATAAGTCACTTAACCTCTGAGTCTCAGTTTCCTCAACAGTAAAATAGGGATAACAATAACACATACTTGCAGGGTTGTTTATTATATTATCTGTAAATATATTATCTGTAAATGAGCAAATGAAAGAATTCAGACTATTCCGTAGGCAACAAGGAGCCTCCAAAGGTTTGAGAGCAGAAGACTATGATTAAAGATGCTCTTTAGAGCAAGTGGTCTGACAGCGCGCACATGGTAGTTCGGGAGGAGGTGGGGGTGACAATCACACTAGAGGGTGACTGTCAAATACCTTTCCAAAAGGCAGGTTTCCCTAAAATCAGCTTTCTCCTGAATGTCCCAGATTCATAGTCCTGAGAGCCATAACCTGAGGTTCTTCTAGAAAGATCTGTTCTTGATAAATCCACGATGGCTTCTGGCAGATCATAAATGGGAGAGTTCTGAGTGGCAAAGTAACCTAACCTTCTATGCACAAAGATACCTCGAACTAGCAGTGGCATGAATAGGGAATGATCTGAAAGGAGGAGAGGCTAAAGATGGGAAGACATGTTGAGAGTCCACTGCCATAGTTCAGAGGGGTGGTGATGAAAGTTTGGGCGAGGGAGGTATAGATGAACCTAAAGAAGAGAGGACTGATGGAAGATATTGCAAGAAGAGAGTCTTGTCAAAGGACACAAGAATGATGAACAACAAATGAGGCAGAGATCTCTCCAAGTGCAAGGTAACATCAAGGTTTCAAACATGGAGCACTGGATAAAAGGTAATACCACTGGCAGGAAGAGCAAAATCGGGAGGAGGGGCAAATTGTAGGGAAAGGAGAAATCACAGGAGGGTTTCTGTGGGGTGGGAGGAAGGACGTGTACAGTTGGTGGGAAGTGACGGTGATGGAAAAAAAAAGAACTGAAAAAAGAGTGTCAATGAAACACTGAAAAACAAGCAAAAGAGAACAGAAATTCCAAAGGGGACCCAGGCAAGCAGAACAGTTTTATGATTATGCTAAATTTAAAATACACCAAAAAACCAAACTATGAAATGGAGAGTCACAATTTCATATAAAATCCCCTTTTTTGTTCTTTGTATATTTAAAAGTTCAAATGTGTTACAATTTGGATTTTCATTAGCACAGAGGCTTTCAGGCTTTTTGTATGTCCCAGATCCCTTTGGAAGTCAGCCTAGCAAAGCCTATAGATCAGAAGTGGGCCTCAAGCCTATAGACGAATGTGACCTCAAGGCCACATGTGTCCCTCAGCCCTTTACTGAATCCAAACTATAGATGTTTCTCACTGAGTGGCATAAAACAAAATACACAGAATTACAAAGGAAACCAATTACATCAAACACACAGTTATTGAAATATTTTTTCAAAACCAAATGCACAATACAAGGTAAAGAGCTCCCTTCACTTGAAGAAGCTCTCACAAGGAACACATAAAAAGCAATTACTGTTGGCAACAGGAAACTAGCAGAAATCCACTAACAGTAGATCAGAATTCTCTAGCCAAATATCTTGATTAACCACCCCCACCCATTTCCATAGCAGCTCCCAGGCCTGGAAAACCTCGGGTGGGGCAAATGCTTATCTGCATGCCGGCCAGCAGCAAGAGTCAGAGAGATTAGCGGCCATAATCCCTGAGACTGAAGGAAGCATGCGAGGGCCATGCAGAGATGCTGCTACTTTTGTGCTTCCGCTTATACCAAGCAATCACTGATTTTGGTACAAAATCAAGGTTGGTATCTCTGATAACAGAGGAGGAAGAGGCTAGCATGTACCACCTCCTGTCTGCAGTGGAAAGAAATCCAAGAACTTTTCATGGAAACTGGTTTCCCCCAAGATTCTATTAACCAAGTGGTCCTTCTTCCTTCTTGTAAAACTAGGTTTTTAAAATTGATGATTTGAAGAAGATAATATCCTTCAAAGTCTTCAATCTAAGGTTTTCAGAAGAAATCTCTAGTCACCTTCCCTGGGGAGGATTCAGTAATGGTAAAAATGGTAACTGATATCAAGCAAAGATTAAGTTCCTTGAGGACAGGGAATATTTCCTGTGGGTCTTTGTATCCGTGGCACCAAGCATAGGGTGTGGCATATGGTAAACACTTTCCTGCTACATTGAATTCAGTTAGCTAAACAATAGTGGCAGAATTTTGAGTACAAAAGGCCCATGGTGAAACGGCTGATTGTGATGTTTAATGGCACCTTCTTACAATTTCCCAAAGTCTCTCCAATGTCAGAAGTTGACAATTTCAACGTAACAATGGATTCACCTGCTCCAGCCCTACAAATATCTTGAGGTGAAAAGGCAGGTTTTCTAACATCTGAAACTACTGAGGAAAAGACCAAACTGAAAATGCAGCCATGTTGTAGGCAGAGCACACAACTGTCCACCCTGGAGCTTGGCCAAGACAGTAGAAGAGTCTTTCTCAATTGCTAAAATTAGAAAAAGCTTTAAATCACACCATTCCATAGTTAACGAACACACTGGCGATGGAGTGAAAAACACTGTACTCTGGGGAATCACCAACATTTTCTTCAGGCTGAACATCAGCTCTGAATGGATCAGAGCCTTGGGTGCTTGGCTGGGAGCCATGGAAATGTTTCCCATTCCTCCTTATGTGGACAGAAACATTTGGAGAAAAATCTATCTCTGTTTTTGGCCATATGCCCTATGTATAAGGTGGAGGAAGTGCCATGCCAAATTTAACAACACACATTTATTAGGTGCTGAATGTGTGCCAGGCAGGATGCTAGACAATGGAAACACAAAGCAAAAAATAAGGCCATCCCTGCTCTCAAGGAGGTTACATTCTAGGGGGCTGGTTGACAGGGGTGGGGGGGAAGAGCACTAATAACTGTGGTGGGAGGTAGGGGAGATTAGGAGAGGTCTCAAGCAAGGGGAGGCTCTTGAGCCCAAGGTTAAACACTGCACAGCCCAAATCTGGCCAGCCCACTTTTCTCAGTTCAACTTATCAGGCTAAAACAACACCCCATTCAAACATATTCACATTCTCTCTCCCACAGAGAGGGTTAATTATCATTCTGAATGGGCCTCCTGGAACTAAAACTGATTTTGAAAATAATGACCATGTCTTACCAGACAGTGCGCTGAAATCTGCATTTCTGCTGAAAATTTCAGAAATCCCCAGGGCCTTCAGGACTTCTTTGAGGTCAATTTCCTGCTCTACAGTGAACCTGCAGAACAGATAAGAAAACAATCCATTTTAAGTTTAAGGATGGCTCGAATAAGATGGCAGGTGGTAGGGAGCATATAATCACTGGAGAGATCATAACGAGTAAGCTGCCCAAGCCTGCTCAGGAGTGCAGGTGACATCTGATTGTCACTGATAAAAGAAGACAACATCAGAAGGCCCTAAAAGCAGAGACCAATATATACCTCAGAGGGAAAAGCGAGAGTGGAAAGATTAGGAGCTGAAATCAGACACCCATCTCTATTTTAAGCAGCAAGCCTGTATCGTCTACTGCAGTGGGACAAAACCAATGGATAAAACCTGGCTGGATCACCAAGGGCTTCCAAAATCAAAATTCATCTGCCCCGCAGATGCCCCCGTTGGGCTGTGAAATTTAAGGTGCCTCTCCTTGGACTCATCCTTGGATGTTGCATTCCTCTGGTGGCCACCCTCCCTACTTTGTATGGTTCCCCAAGGAAGAGTCTCAGAGAATTAATGGATTCTAATCAGAACTCTCCAATATCACGGACTCCAATGAAACCCAAAGATAAAGGAGAAGCAAACAGGTGAGATTTCTCACTTGGCTGGGCCCAGATTTCTTTTGTGTGCTAGCCCACATGCCCAGGGGCACTGTGATCTAACAGAAAGAAAGCTGGACAGGAAGGTGGAGATTCAGGTCCCACCATGGACACTGACTGGCTGTGTGACCTTGGGCAAATCACTTTAACTTCTTTTTGCCTCAGTTTTCTCCTCTGAAAAAGGGGAATAATAGCAACTCTAGCACTTAACTCCCAGGGTTGTCATGAGGCTTAAAAAAAGCTAACAGATGTGAAGTGCTTTGCAACTTTAAATTGCCATGGAAGGGATTATCATCATTATTATCAGTGATTGTTACTGCTTCCCAAGTGCAGTAATCAGCACTCTTTCACGACAGCTGACACAATTCAGTGAAAGTCTGGTAGCCATTGAACCATGAGTCATAGTACCACATCTCAAAAACCTCTCCCTTGGGCCAGTGATGCTCAGCAGGGTCCCTAACCTTTCTGTGTGGAATAAACCCCTCCCTTTGGCTATGCAGTAAAGCTTAGGAACCCTTTCTCAGAATCATGTTTTCAAATGCATAAAACAAGATACATAAGATTGCTAAGGAAACCAAGTATATTGAAATACAGTTATCACAATGCTTCTTAAAAACTTTATGGCACTCAGGGTAAGAGCCCTTAGTGTAGAAAGTATAGTTTTTGAGATGAAAATAAGAAGGAAAAGAAAGAAGAAAAATACAGAAATGTTCAATTCTATGATAAATGGATGAAAGTATATAACTGAAAAGGGTGGTCATGAGAGAATAGATTTCTAACTGGAGGGGATCTCAGACTTTCATTTTAGAGCAGAGGGAGCAGAGCAGAGAGCTGAAATGACCTGCCCAACCTCACCCCCATAGCCGGGCAGAGGCAGGAGTCAAACCCAAGCCCTCTGTTTCTTTCCACTGAACCATACATCAATGAGCTTTTGGTTACAACTCAAGCCGACTAGTCAGTTGTTCAGGATTCCAGGCGCCTTATTAAAAGGGCATGCTCAGGTCTCCCTTTTGTGCGCCCAGCTCTCTGTAGACGTTTCCATATTCAAGACTTCTTCTGCCTCATACTATCAGCCCAGGGGAAAGAGTATTAGATCTAAAATCAGAGGGACTGGGTTCAAATCTGGCCTCTCTCACTCCCACTCACTGCCCTCTTTTTGTGCCCCCAGTGCTGAGCACAGCGTTTGGCATAGAGCAGATACTTAATAAATGATTATTTCCTTCTCTTCCTTCCTTTCCGGATGTTTTTCTATGTACTGACTAGTTTTGCTGATATTTTTCTCTTTATTTATTTATTTTTTAATTCTTTGTTAAGAGGATGGCTCTCTGGGAAAGGGAAGTGGGAGGGAAACCAGGAAATTGAGATAATGCAAAAACAAACAATATCAATAAACTATATATTTTAAGAATTAGTGTAAGATTTCATTTCTATCTTACATTTCACTCCATGAGCTCTCCAAGACTGTTGAAGGAGAATAGAAACAACTGCTTCTTTAAAACTTCAAATGAAAGAGCAATCTTGCTTTTCTAAACCCAAGCAGCGGGAACAAGATTGGGCTGTATTTGTGATCTCTACTCTGGGGAGTTTCACAGTGGAGCTCATTGCCTGCCATTTAGTTTTACAGAGCAAGAGGAGAGTAGAGTGAGCCCCATGAGATCAAAAGACATAAAGAAGACCTTTTGCCCAGAAATTAGGCAAGGAAGACTCATCAGTAAAGGAGGTAAGTCTTAAGCCAGGGCAGAAAAGGAAGAGGGAGACTCTGTGCAAAGTCGAGTGGATTCTCAGCCAGTGAAGTCCTCTGAAGGTCATGTTTCAGGTTACAGGAGAGGCATCCCATCCCATCATCCCTGAATTAAAACATTCTGAAGGCAGAGAACCAGTCTGAGAATTCAGAGTTCCAAGAAAAAAATAAAAATAAAGACAATGTAAGAAAATGCTTCTATAGCAATACCAAGCACTTAAGAATTTGAGATTTCTTGTAGACGACTCCTGAAGGCCTAAAGACAGGTTGGTTACGCCAGGCTTGGAACTATGTACTGCAAGGTACAAATGCTGACGGCTGCTACTATACTCATAAGAGACAGCATGGGGTGGGGAAAAGGGTGTTCAACTCAGTCAGGAAAACCTGGGTTCAAATCCTCCTGAGACACTTATTGGGAACTTCACACCACTGAGATTTAGTTTGCTCATCTGTAAAATGGGGATAGTAATTACTTCTACCTCCCCACCTTGTTGTGAGGGTCAAATAAAAAAACGTGTACATGTCCTTTGCAAACATTAAAGCACTATTTGAATATGGCTCATTATTTTTGGGAGGCACAGATCAATATGTTGAGGCTACTAAAGGTCACTAAGTATCAAAGTTTTCCTACCATTAGAAAAAAAAAAGAAACATAAGGTTCTAAAAATGTGACGTGAAGAATGATGTGAGGAATCTAGGCTGGTTTTGTTAATAAACTGGCATGCACATTTTTTCATAGGGAAAAACAACAACAAAACCCATAAAAACCTGGGACCACTTAAGGCAAAAATTTCAGATGCTTGAATAAACACGAGCATAAAGTAATAAATTATTTATACAGAATGTCAATCACGATGGGTATATAGGACAAGATTAAAATTACAGAAAAGTTATGTTGCATTCTCAAGGATGATTGGCATTTCATGAAGAAAACTAAATACTTAATAACCTTTGAAGACAAGAAAATGAAAAGAATCCTAGGTAAAGGGGGGTTGGACAGTCTTTGCTTGGGCCCAAACTCACTAATAAAGTCAGTTATCATCTGGAGTACACATTTAACTCTTCTCAGGTCCAGTTCGGCCTGTGGGGGAAAAAAAATCAAAAGACCAGAGATTGTTTTGTAAAGCTAGGTGGTTTAAAATTTATGTTATGAACAAGTTGGCAGTAAAGACCAAAGTCGTCTTCAACTACTGCTCGGTATGTATCTCCAAAGTAGTGAAAATTCAACACAAGATTTCATAGAATTCCTGTCAAAATGGGAAAAGTATGATTAACCCTGCCTTGTTTAGTAACTCAAGGACTAATACAAACGAGGAAATGAAACTGTCCACTTTGTAATTGGATCGAATCTTTCAGAAAATGAAAACTTAATTTTCTTCTTTCTGCTAGAGCCTTTCATTTCTCAGTGGACAGGGCCTGTAGGTTACATTTCCTGGTGAACATGTTTGGTCAGAATATAAAATATTTATGAAGCATTTACTTAGCGCACCGATAAAATCTCATCTCCTGCCTCTAAATCCTAATAGGCACTGAGCACGTGAAGCTATTGTCACTGTCCCTTGGTATTCCAGGGAAGCAAGAGAAGTATTATCAAATCTAATCAAATTCTTTCATGTTAGAAGAAAGAAAGAGAGAAAAGGGGAGGAAAAAGAGAGAAAGAGGGTGAAATGGGTAAGGGACTGAGGGAGGGAGAAAAAAAGGGAGAAACAAGGACAGAGCAAGGAGAAAGAGGGAGAAAGAGAAAAGAAAGGGAGGAGAAAAAAAACCACAATGTATTCTAATCATTATTTTAATAGTTTAGCTCATTTTGAATTTGACATGGACCTGAACAAAATGAGACCTATCAGTACATTTATATAGTTATATAAGATTAATTACTAATGCTCTACGGTCAAATGCATTACTTTTCAAGATAAATGATCTATAAAAATCAAATATTTTGTGGCTAATTGTTTTCACATGACAATACCCAACTGGAAAGATGGAAAGCCATTCTCTCTCTGAGGATACATTTGGTGCACAGATGAAGTGCCAGGCCTGCAGCCAGGAAGACCTGAGTGCAAATCCAGTCTTAGATACTTAGTAGCTGTGTGACTATGGGCATATCACTTAACCTCTGCCTCAGTTTCCTTATCTGTAAAAATAGGGATAATACTAGCACCTATCTTTCAGGATTGCTACGAGAATCAAATGAGATCATTGTAAAGCACTCAGAACAGTGCCTGGTAATAGTAAGCAATAGCTGTTGTTGCTATTACAAGTGGTCATCATACAAAAACACTGCTGAGGACACTAGTGAAGAAAATTCTGTCAGCCCTTATAAAAAACAGCTGGGATAAGATACTTAGCATGCTAAGAGTCTAGAACCAAAAAGATCTCAATAGGCAGAAATGATGGACTAAATTAAATGAGATAAATTTTGTATTTGTCTAGACTTTCCATAAGGCTAAATGTAAAGCTCTGTCATTGAGGTGTTTTTTTTTTTTAAATTAACTTCTCAAGGATAGGGTAGTGGAAGCACTGCTGGACAAATCTGTCTGAAAAAGATAGGGGTTTTAGTGGATTGCAAATTCAACAGATGTCAAGAGAACATGGAAAGTGACATGGCCTACCGCTCCATTAGGAGGAGCACAGAGTCCAGTGTGGCAGCAAAGATGAAGGTGGGGCTGTACTGTGCTAGGAAGATGACTTTATCAGTGAGCAGAGGTCAGGGGGTGGAGAGCTGTGGGCTGAGAAGCAGGCAGGAGAGGGGAGGCATGGGCTACACCCACATGCAGCCATTATATTGGCTAGGAAGGGTATGAGCATGGAAGCAGATCTGGGGAGGCTGGGGTTAACCTTGCTCGTAGGTGGACTGATGTGGAACCCAGCTTCCTTTGGGACAGAAGAATATGAAAGCAGTTTTTAGGACTTTGGAGGAGAGTTCCTGAGACCTGGGGAGTCTCCCTGATGACCACTTCACACAATGACTGGCACACAGCAGGGGCTTAATAAATATTAGTTAACTGACTTCTTTTAACCTTCTTGCTAGAGACTTTCATCTGCTTTGATCTTCCTGGATTTCTTTTTAATCGCCTTGAAAACTGCTTTTACTGAGGGTATTTGAATATATGGTTTATTAAATGCATTACTGGTCAATCTCTGACTGATGCATTAGCCCAGATGCAGAATAGACACCTAGAAACGAGGTAGGTGGTGGTAATCCTATTGTCTTCTGTCGTGGTCTGCTTACCTCTGGAAGGTTCAGCTCTAGCTACCACATTTCATGAGGAACTTTAATAACCCGGAGAATGTGACAACTAGGGTGGAAACCCACCAGGACACCATTTGATGATTATTCAAAAAGCCTGGAAAAGTCTGGTCTAGAAAAGATCTGGGGGGGAGTGGGAAGGGCTGATGGCTGCATGCAAATATGTGAAGGACTTACTCATAGAAAAGGGATTGGACTTGTTCTGCTTGGCCCTAGACAGTAAAACAAGGAAGAAATGGGGAGAAGGTGCAGAAAAGATCTGTTGTCTGTTTAAAGAAGGACTTCCCTTCAAAAGTATAATGGGCTGACTTGGGAGGTAGAAGCCTTCAGACGAAGGCTGAAGACATTCCTGTACAGCCAACTAGAAAGCTTCTGAGACCATTTAACTAAATTTGCAATTTGGGGACATAACAATCTTTGATTTTGTACAAAAGCTGTACAAATTGTCCAAAAAAAAAGTTCACCTGACTTTCCAAACTCCTGTCATGCTAGGAAGCTCCCTCTGTTGATTATTTCCAATTTATTTTATATGTATGTGTGTACATGTGCACATATATGTATATACATAGATACATGTACATATACATCTATGGGTATATACATCTATGAGATACGTGTTTATATGTTGTCTTCCTCATTAGACTGTGAGGTCCTAGAGAGCAGGGACTGTCTTTTTACCTTTCTTTATATGTCCAATGCTTAGTACAATGCCTGGCTGTATACAGCAGGTGCTTCATATATGTTCATTGACTTGACTGACTCATTCTACTAATATTCATTGAGTACCTGCTAAGTACAAGACACTGTTACAGCATCTCATACGTCTCTGAATTAGCAAAAGCTAGCTATCAATTAAGATTCTAAAGAAACAGCATTTTATCTACAAGAAATATGGCTTTAAAAATTTATGGAATTAACAATTGGTATAAAATCACAACAAGACCTTTTGGCCTTTCAGCGCAATTACATCTTTTATATGTTTATCCACACTTATTGCTAGTATTAAACATACCATTAATTGAAAATATAAAATGAGTACCTGTTTTCTCAACTTGTGCATTTTTCCTACATATATTCATGTCTGTACTTCCTAGCTTAGAGACCCCTAAGTTTAACTCTTAAGGGTAAAGTGGTGGGGCAGCTAGGTGGCTCAGTGGATAGAGCACCGGCCCTGGAGTTCAGGAGGACCTGAGTTCAAATCCAGCCTCAGAGACATAATACTTCCTAGCTGTGTGACTTTGGGCAAGTCACTTAAACCCAACTGCCTCACTAAAAAAATAAAAAAAATTTAAAAAGGGTAAAGTGGAGAATTAAAGGGCCCTAAGATAGTAAGTAGTTTACCATTTGTGGGCTGCAACAGTTTGGCAAAGTGGTTTGGATCTGATTTCAGGTAGCTACTTGCTTAAGTGTTAGACCTGGAACCAGGAATATCAGGAATTCAAATCCTGCCTCAGACCCCCACTAGCTGAACAAGTCACTTAATCTGTGTTTGCCTTAGTTTCTTCATCTGTAAAACAGGGATAATAATAGTATCTACCTCTCAGGGTTATCAAATAACTTACGTGTAAAACATTTTGCTAAGCTTAAAGTGCTATATAAATGCTAGGTATCCGAATCAATAAAGAGCACAAATGCATTCTGTAGACTGAATATGTCTCACACACTATCTATTGCTATTTTTTGAAACGTAGACACTGTTTAATTAAAGTCCAATTTCATTTAAATGCATTGCTAAATCCACTGTAGCTTTCTGTCATTACGTATCTTCTCAGTCCAAGGAGACAACAGAATAATTACTATCCTGTGGGCATATCCATGGACATTTTTTTTCAAATGTAAGAGAAGCTCATCATAATAGACCAGGGGAGGGAGTGAGGAAGCAAACATTTATTTAATGCTTACTCCATGCCAGGCAGTTGCTGTTCAGTCATCTCTGACTCTTCATGATGCCATTTGAGGTTTTCTTGACAAAGATACTGGAGTGGTTGACCATTTCCTTCTCCAGCTCATTTTATAGATAATCTAAGTGAGGCAAACAGGTAGGTGACTTGCCCAGGGTCACACAGCTAGGAAATGTCTGAGGCTGAATTTAAACTCAGGAAGATGAGTCTTTCTGACTTCAAGCCCGGCATTCTATCCACTCTCCTACCTAAGTGCCAAGGAAGGAAGGAAGGAAGGAAGAAGGAAGGAAGGAAGGAAGGAAGGAAAGAAGGAAGGAAGGAAGAAAGGAAGGAAGGAAGGAAGGAAGGAAGGAAGGAAGGAAGGAAGGAAGCAAGGAAGGAAGGAAGGAAGGAAGAAGGAAGGAAGGAAGGAGGAAGGGAGGAAGGGAGGAAGGAAACAAGGAAGGAAGGAGGGAAGGAAAGGAAAGGAAAGGAGGGAGAGAAGGAAGGGGAAGAAAGAAAAAGAAGGGAGGGAGGGAAGGGGGGGAAGAGGGAGAAAAAGAAAGAAGGAAAGGAAGACAATTCCTGCCCTCAAGGAACTTACATTCTAATGTAAATTTCTATCCTCCAGTAGGTCAGTCAGTCAAAAAACATTTATTAAGGCATCTACTACAGGGGAAACACTCTACTTAGCACTGGGAATACAAAGAAAGTCCTGGGAGCTTACAGTCTAATGGCAAGCTTCTTGAAGGCAGAGCTGATGCTGTTCTTTGCACCTCGTGCCAAGCCCATTGTGAGGAGGGCCACAAGAAGAACTGAAACAGCCACCCAAAGCCCTTGGCAGTCTCACCTTGGTAGATACACTTCCACTTTCTGCTTCTTCACAGAGTTGGCCCATTCTTCAATCAGCTGAGGCTTCACCAATGGCTCCAGGGTGACCAGTGGGACCTCTTGTCGGGACAGAACAAGCATCATGCTTATTTCATCCCCTTCGTAGGGTATTTCCAAAACCTGATAGATGCCACCTGCCTCATTGGAGCCATCGCTAAATTCCCCTACAAAAAAGAATGAAAGGCCACAGAAAAACAAGTTAAATGGAGCACAGCAAACCAAGCTTCTTGGATCTACTCCGTATCTTCTTTCAAATCTGAAAACAAGGCTACCCAAAAAAGGGCTTATTGGGAACTGGGACTCATTCAAGGGCACTCAAGTATTTGTTTGCATTACTTTGCTCTAAACAAAGTCTCCCCCACCCAGCGTTCCAACCACTGTTTTATTGACTACGATTTACTATAAAATGTGAAATTATGTACAAAATGAGGCATTGAGTGAATGTCATCATGATAATGAACAAAACTTCCCTGGAGAAAAAATGTCAATTAGCCTTACAGATAAAAGAAGACACTTCAAAAAGTGGATAAACTGATGATTCTACAATAACAAGAGCCCAGAGAGGTCACAGAACACAGCTGTAGAGCTGAAAGGGAGCGTTAGAAGTCATCTAGTCTTGCCCCATTATTTGAAAGATGAAGAAACAATCCCAGATTAAAGGCAGCTAGGTGGCACAGGATAAAGCGCCAGGCCTAGAGTCAGGAAGACCTGAGTTCAAATCTGGCCTCAGACACTTACTAGCTGTGTGACCCCGGGCAAGTCACTTTACCCTGTTTGCCTCAGTTTCCATATCTGTAAAATGAGCTAGAGAAGTATCATTGCCAAGAAAACTTCAAATGAGGTCACAAAGAGTCAGACATGACTGAATGATACAAAGGCCAGATTGGTGAAGGGACTTCCCCAAGGTCAAACAGCTAAAAGTGGCAGAGCTGGGGTTCAAACCCAGGTCCTCTGACTATAAATTCAGCACTCTTTTCATTGCACCATGTTGCCTTCTGCGTAGCTACACTGTACTCAAGGTGTTACCTGCCACGTTTGGCATGATTAAGACATCTAAATTAGGAAACTAGCCTTTTCGGCCCAGGCTGATCTGGCCAAAGGAAGAGAGATGTTTTCCAAACAAGTGTTACAATTTCAAATGGACTTGGCCGCTGAAGGCAAACAAAGCAGCCCACTCTTTAAATGGACTGGTTCCAACACTACTCTATGACAATGGTCCAGAGTGTAACTAATGATTCTGAAGTGACCGTTTACAGGTTTTTTGTTTCTCTTCTTGGCCAGTCACAAGAGATGAGCTATCCAAAACTCACACTAACCATTTAATTCTCTCTTTCTCAAAGCAGAGTTTACTCTTTCATCCTTGACCAACGGTTTAGTTTAAAAACCTCTTGGCCTCATTCAAATTTAGGTAGAATCAATTGTTCATTCTCATCTACATGGTACTATACTCTACACGCATACCATGAGACTGTAAGGTCCTTGAGGGCAGGGACTGCTTCTGCCTCTTTTTGCATCCTCAGCACTTAGCACAATGCCTGACACATGGAAGGAGGTTAAATATTTATTGACTGATGAATCTTTTAAAAATTCCAACACAATGCCATCTATTGCTGGGAGCAAGAATACACCAGACTTCTAAATCATTTTAGAACAAAGGCTAGGTAATCTAAATGGTTCACTGAAAAATAAACAAAAGGCAAAGCACTTTTTTGTCATCAAGAGTTCCAACTCCTCCAAAAGAAATCTCAACTGAGAAACTGTCTCTCCAAGTGCCCTCTTGTGAGTGCATGACACATAGGAAAGTCCTCACCCTCCAAGTATCCAATTTAAAGATAAGAAGCCTTTTCAAACAAGACTAAGACAGCTGAATTGTATCCCAAGCTTTTTGGGCAGTTTTACATAGAAATCTATTGGACTAGTCATACATTGAGAGAAAAAAATTTCAATGTACAGTCCACAGGTTCTATTGGTATTCAGAAAATGTCAAGAGACTGAGGAAGCCCCAGCATGTTGGAGATAGTCCTATGAAAAATGTAGGGGAGGACATGGAAAAAAGTCTCCTAGGATCAAAGCAAGTTTGGATGAGTTGCTGGAGGCAGCACGTACACTGAGGAGATCATGGAGCCCTTTGAATATTGGCGTCCCAGAAGCTCTTAGCGTATCACTAAGGTACACAGTGGACGGCCACCTGGCAAGGGATCCACACTGAGGTCTCTACTTACCATAGTAAAACTCTCCCTGTTGGTACATCATTGGAATCTGAGCCTCGCTTTCATCATCTTTCGTGAAAGAGAAGGTTCTTGTGTTTTCAGGCCTAAATTGTGACTTCCAGTTCCCTTTAAAGTAGACAGCATTGACGAGGGCCAGCTGAGTCAAAGCACTGAAGTCTCTTGCTAAAACCAAATCCTTCACTAGACCTGATGACGTAGAAATGAGCAGAAGAAAGGAATGAGTGAACAGCTGGGAGCAGAGGGGAAATCTACAGGAGAATGAAGGGACTTGGGAGAGGTAGGAGAAAGTTCTACCCACAAAGTAAACATGAAAACAAATGCTCACTTTTCCTTTTTGAAGGTATACTGTTGAAATCAATGTTCAGTTTTAAGAATTCTTAAGAAAGAAAACTTAAGAAAGACACCAAAGACGTTTGATTCCATGACCTTGTTCATACTAATAACATTCTGTTGCATAATTACTAAAAACATTAATAAAAGGACACAAATCCTTTCCCATTAGAACTTTTCTAGAGTATACTAGAGAAGTAGCTCCCAAAATAAATGAAATTGGTTTTAATTAGATTAAAATAAACAGGTGTATGAGACATAATGTAAATGTGTTTCTCCATAATCATGTATGCAGACAAAAGTATCACAGGAAGGGCAGGCTTGGATAGCTTGGCGTCTGTTTTGCTGGAACAAATGCCCATAGTGATGTGACTCTAGCTCCACTGCAGTACTGAATCATGACTGGCTTTCCTTTGGCCAAGGCTGGTCTGGCTGTGGCCTCCAGAAACACTTTCCCCAAACTGACAATACTGTGCTTGGGCCTGAAGCAGCTACAAAAAAAAAAGTAGGCCCCTTCCACAAAAGTTTATAGACAAAAAAAATTCCCAATAACTAGACTCATTTCTCATGGATTTCCTACTCTTGATTTACTCAATGAATGGCGGGCGGGGGGGGAGGGACGGAGTGAAAGGAATGCAATTTGGCTTCTATGTTTCAACGTGGAGCAGAAGCTTGTTTTAGACCCTCACAAATTGTATCAATAATAACCCTTCTGACAGAAGAGTGTGACTCAGTGTTTTATAAATGATAGGTTTTCTTTTCAGATTTCCTTCATACCACAGAATGTCCCCGTGGGATAAAAATTACTATATTCAGGCAATATTAAAACTATTATTTCAGGAAGTGCAGTATACATAATGTTATGGTAATTTCCTCCTTATTTGACTGCTATCATCTGCTTAAATAAAGCCTCTCATTGTGGCATCAGGTTTGTTATCTAATTTAAATTCATTTGGCTTTTAAAGAGAGAAAAAAATTGAACATTTGTTTGAAAAGTGAAGATTTTATGTGTATGTGTGTGTACATGTGTATATATATATATGTGTGTGTATATATATGTGCGTGTGTGTGTACATGTGTATATATATATATATGTGTGTGTGTGTATAAATCCACGCCATTTGAGGTTACGCTCACAATATTTCTTTTCTTTCAACTTAAAAACTGAATTGAGTTAAATATTTATTAAGTACATACTATATGCAAGAAAGGTAGTATGATGCGATAGACAGTGAGGAGGAAGGCTCATATTCAAGTGCCACCCTGACACATTCTAACTGGGTGATCCACGCCACTCATTTGGTCAGTCTGTAGACCATATATCTGTCTAAAAAGGCACTTGCCAATGGGCACCTAGTGGGAGGAGTTTCCTCACTGGGAACTGCCTATTCTAATGATATCATATATCTATTCCCACCCTCTCTGTGTGGGACAAGTGAAGGTTTCTCATATGAAATGGAAGCTATGCCCCAAAATTTAGTTAAGGCTTTAGCATTAGCTGGGCCTAAGTTTCCTGTAAATCATGGGATTGGTTCATAAATCTGTTGCCCACCCCCTCCCTTGTTTTGTAACCACCACCCCAGCTTTATCTTTGCCAGATAAGGCAATCTTCTAGCTCCCAAGCTTGTTTTGGGTAAAATGTATCTCTTAGTTGCTGGGTAGAATGTAAAGTCTCTTACCTTAACCAACGAGGATAAAGAGATTGAGGTAAACAAGTGGGTGGGGGGATTTCTTAGAGTTGTTTGCCGCCTGTTATCTTGCCTCCCTACTCCAGTCCACCCTGGGTAGGTGATGCCCAATTCTCATGCGAGACTTGCTGTTAAAACTTCAGTTTCTACTGAGAGAAACCTCTGAATTTTTATTTGGGTAGGTGGTCTCTATCCCACTCACTCTCCATCCCCAAATAAGTGCAAAGCCTTGTTCTTTGAGGGCTCTGCCCTCAAGGACCTTATAGCCTAATTAAATTTCTTTTTCCTTTTTACTTAAGGTAACTTACTCTAAATTTGTGACTATCTATACTGTCAAGTATAGGTCAAACCAGATTAAAATGTAATTGCGAAATATTTAACAAGATGAAATTTATGTTAAAACATAGAAAATATTACATTTTAAAACTAAATCCATATATGGTCTGCAGAGATCCTCACATATGGTTTAGTGACTCCTGTTTCTATTTGAGCTTGATACCACACTTCTAGAAGACAACTACATTACTCCAAGAATCCTCTCTAAATTCTTTTAATTTCTATTTTCCAAGAGAGAGGCAGAGACACACACACACACACACACACATATGCACAGAGAGAGAAAGAGACAGAGACAGAGAGAGAGAGAGAGAGAGATAAACGAGCCACTAGTTAAGAAATCCACCGATTTTCAATATCAGAACAGCACAAATTTTCAGACAATGAATCAGAGGCAAAATGGTAGAGGGACAAGTTCTTTCTTAAGGGATAATTTACATGGAATGCCTGATTACTGATTTTCACCATTCACTCAATGGAATTCTCAGATATCCCAACTATTTGCCATTTTACATTCTGAAGGGAGCAGATGTAATCCAGGGCAACACTTGGATTTTTTCCTTTGTCTGGATCTGTCCACAAAAGTTAGACACATGAATTATTTCTAACACAAACTATTTTCCAATAAAGGCCAACAGGTAAAGAAAAGAAGAGAAAAACATACTGTCAGTGTGGTTCTCCACCCACTTGTTGATGTAACTGGCTACAGCCTCATTTTGACTGAAATCTACATGATCAATTTCAGCTTGAAAATACTTTTTCATCATCTGCAAGAACTTTTCGTTGACATGGAATCCATTTTGCACAAAGAGGGAGTTGGCCATTTTCATCACATACTGGTTCTCCTCGGTGGTTATCATGTCAGAGAGATTCCTCAAGAAGGAAAATTCTTCCCCTGAAAGTGGTCAAAGGAGAAGTTTTTTAAATTGCATTAAACTCAGTGCAAAAAGGTAGAAGAGAAATTACCCAGCTCATTGTTACATGATTCAGATACACCATAGGTCTAATTATGTCCCTACAAAGATAGCAACATTGGTTAAAATCCTGACAGAACTTAGCTTATCTGGCATCATAATTGCAGCAGGGTCTTACCATACAGGCACTTTCTAATTTACCAACAGTTTGCTTTCTGAAAGTAGATGGCAGAACAATAAACATGTGGCCTTGGAGATCATGTATGCATATGATTTTTGATTTAGAGTGGGAAAGATCCTCAGAAGTTATGGCGTCCAACCCCTTCATTTTCCATCCGGGGAAACTAAGGCCCAGAAAAGTTAAATGACTTGGTAACGGTCTGTGCCTGGGTTAGGAAAAAGCAGACATGGGATCTGAACCCAGGTCTTCAGACCCCCAATCCAATACCCCTTCTGAAGAAAAAGGTGCATGTAGATGTCAAAGAAATATGTGCATCAACAAAAAGTTGAACTGAGGCAAATTCTAGGCCTCAGCTTGCTCATGTGAAAAATTAGGTTTGTCCAGATGACCTCCAAGGTCTCTTTCATCAGCTCTAAATCTATGCCAGACTTTCTCAGGTAGCAGCACAGGAACTAGGTCTAGATTGGTGGAAGGGCACCAAGGGAACTGGTGAGAAAGGTGACAATATGGGTAGGTGAGGATATGGGTTGGGGACTGAGGACATAACTAGGTCTGAACTTGAAAGACTGGTAGTTGGGGGGTGGAGGTGTGAGGGGTGGCAAAACATCCTTCTCACCTTTTCCCCATACCACTAGTTCTTCCATTTCAGAAGGACGACAAAAAGACAAGGGTAGAAGGAAAGGAAGATGGATTGTCGATGTAGAACTGAAAAGGGAGGAGGTATCTCCATACTAACCTCCTCATTTTAAAGATACATGGGAGGGCCAAACTAATTCTACTGATCCAACGAAACTGACTCTCAAACATGAGGATTACCTTTGATTAGTTAGAAAGTTAAGTCACATAGATTCCTTTTACGTTTAATTAGAAGTCTCTTAATAATATCATACACTCTAAAGAAACTACAAGGTCTAATTCAACCATTTTTTTAATAGATGGAGGAAATGAGGGTCTTGAGGAAGTTATGTGATCTATTCCAGATTGTGTGGTCATTTGGTGAGGCTGTTTTATTAGCCTATACCTAGCTAATTAAGTAGTTGATGAACTAGAGACAGTGGGAAACATTAAGAATCTCTTTAATTTCACTGAAGTTGATTCTAAGGATGAATCCACATTTTTCTCTGTTCAAGTAGAGAACACCCATACCTGTCTCCTTCACTGACATCCTCCTTCTAGGATTACAAGATTTACAACTAGAAAAGACCCTTCTTTTTACTCCATTTTCTGTCATCTTATTAGCACAGCCATCTTTCTACATGGCCACCAGTTTCAACTCTAGAAATCTCTTATATTTAAAAATACAACTTTTTAAAAATAAACTATACAAAGCATCAATATAACACTTTAAAATTGTTTTGCAACTATTTACATACGTTTAAATAACTATTTCAAGATATGAAATACCACACCAATTTTTTAGGACGTCCTTCTCTCCAAAGGCCTTTCCAAAAGGCTTCTCTGCCTCTTTTTCTTCTCAGAACTTAGTGTATATATTCTGGTCTTTTAGGGTCTGACTTCTCCCACTGTGGGACAGATCTTTATTTCCTAAAGGTCTTTTCAGATCTACTTGTACTCATCCTACCTGCTGCCTTAATTTCTTTAAATACTATAATTTTATCAAATTCTATAATGACATTAAGTTTACCACAGTTTATTCAGTCATATATTCACAATGATAGACATTTAGCCTGCTCTTACGAAAACAGACCATTCTGCTAAGAAAACCTCTGAACAGATTGCTTTTCCCCCCCCTTCTTTTTGATAACACACATTCTCTAGGGGCATAATCTCAAGACTGTAATTATTTGGTCAAAGCATATGACTATTTTTGTAACTTCTATGGCATACCACCTACTGCTCTCTCTTGCAAATAAAAAATGTCCACACTTGTTAGTTTCATTAAAGTTGAATATGTAACCAAGATCAAAATATTTTTATTAAAGTCAAATACTTTTACATTAGCTCAAAGTTTCTTGTGTGCATTAGGATGAGCAAAGTAGTACAGTGGGAAAAGTACTATAATTGCTGTCAAAAGACCTGGGTTCAACTCTTGATCTTTCCCTTTTTCTATGACTTCAGATAGTCCCAACCTCCTTGGCCCTCAGTTCCTCATCCGTACAATGAAAAATTTGAACCAGATAGTGTCTAAGCTCCCTGCCAGCTCTGCATCTAAGGTCCTGTGATAAATTTAGAGATGTGACCAATCAGAACACCCAGCAACCGGTCGTGATGCAAGATTTTGAGATTTTTGTGACTTAACTGCACTACAGATAACTGTATCTGGAATACAGGAGTAACTAAGAGATAAAATATTCATATTCCCATGGGAAAGGAGGAAAATGTCTATTTTTTCAGATAAAAAACTCAAGTTTCACAAAGTGACTTGGTTTAGATGATTAAGTCAGAGGAGAGGTCAGCTCTCCTTCTTGGATCCTTATACACCTGTTCTAGCTACAATATCAACAACGAGATTGCTACATTCATACACACACACACACACACACACACACACACACACACAACTATTACTATTACTACTGCTGCTGCTGCTGCTACTATTACTATTATTAAAGTGATAGAACCATAGTTGATCAGCCTGGCCCGATGAGGCAGAACTAAGAGAAACAGATGGAAATCTAAAATCCGATTCCAAATAAAGAACCCTGCCTGGTAGTTAGAGCTATGCAAAAGTGGAGTGCACGGTTCCCTCCCATTGGAAATCTTCAGACAAGATATGCTATAAAAGGGGTTCCTGTTCAGACATAGATTGGACGAGAGAGAGTATGAGTGCCTTTCCAGCTCCGGAGATGATGTCATCCTAATTCTTTGATCTACGTGGAACAAACATCACTGAACATGCTTACCATCCTTTAAGCCTTCATATCCCATGGAATGACGTATTTCTTTCAGGGTGGATCCATGCGCCCCCAGTTCCACCATTCCCATGGCAATAGCGATACTCAAAGGACAGAACAGAATATTTTCATCTTCCCCAGTGGCCCGTAGATGATTATACACATTCACAGACAATTCTGCAATGGTTTCATCAGGAAAACTGGTGCAAAGAGCTGTACTTGGCAGAACAAGCAGAGCCACGAGGCCAAAGAAAGTCATGTTTCCAAGGTTTCCGTCTGAAAAACAAAGTACGAGGATATTAGTCATGTGAATCAGACTCAAATAAATGGAGGGGGGATAATAATAGAAAGACAGACAGACAGACAGACAGATAGATGATTTACTAAGCACTTACTACGTACTGGTAGTGAGAGATGAGGCAATGAAAACCAACAATTAAGAAACTGAGTGAACCTTCTGAGGAAAACAATTACTATGTAGAGAGACAGCCAATCCTTGCCTCACAAGGACAGGCTGAGCTCTTTTCACACATAACCACTGAGGCTATGAGCTACCACCCCTAACCAGGAAGCCAACAAAAGCCAGGGGAATGTTCCCAGACTGAGTTTAAATCTACTCTTCTAACTGCTGCTTGCTCGGTGCTGGTCTGTGGTCACAGACCTGACTTAGGGTTAGAAGAGTCTTCATAAGCCTGTCTATAAAACTTACATCAGGATCTCTGCTAAAAGAAAATCTACTAGCCAAACATGGAAGCCTCACATTGAAGTGAAGGTAGGAACCAAGGCCCAGGTGAAACAAGCTTCTGGGTCACTGTCCTTCCCCTACCACTTATTAGCCACCTGCAACAAAATGCCCGTGGTCACTCATTTGCCTCAGCCTGACACAGAAAGGCATTCTCTTTACAATTATTCCCTTTAGCATCTGTTGCCACTTTCATTTCCTTGGTCTCCAGAATTCTCATTAAGGATGATTTCAAAATGCAGCACTTATGTGACTTCAGGAGGATCAACCATTACTAAGATAAAAGCCTTTTTAAAAGGGGAGGATGCAGGATCCTTTTTGAAAACCAAGCCAGTCATGGCTAGAATTAGTGAAGGCAATTACAAGCAGTAATAGCTTCTCCACAAATCCTCTGGGATTCCAGAGCATCCTAGCTCATCCCCATTTCTACAAAGCTGCTCAGGGAGAGGAGATGGCAATGGCCGCCAGAACACGGATGCCATTTACAAAGCTCGTCAACGTTTGAGGAGCCCTTTATTAACATCAGTTCCTTCAGTAAGAAATAGCATGACCTATGGCAGAGAACTCCTCTGGGTTCAAGTCCTGCCTTTGAAACATACAAGCTGGATGGCCCTGAGCATCCTCTCAGTTCCCCAAGTTACTCTCCCATGCACCAAGAGGCAGAACAGAGAGTCTCCTAACAAATTAAGTCACAGGACTCACGTCCACTTCCAACTCTAGATCTCATCTGAGCCTCACAACAACCCTGAAGCAGACACTGAAGGTATTAATATCCCCATTTTATAGATAATAAAGTAAGGCTCCAAGAGGTTGTGACTTGTTCCTGATCACCAAGGGGAAAGGCTGACAATCAACTGAACTCGTATCATAAGCAGGATTTGAACCTGTTTCTCTCCTGACTCCAAAACATGGCGGGTGTAAGCAGAATATACGTACTAAAACATCAAGATCAGTAATGCTGTGTCCACCTTGAATAAACCTGGGAAACCGTACTTAACAGGCACCCACAGATAAGAGGATGGCTTTCTTTTTGGCTTTTCCCCTCAGTCCTAGGCTACTGTCACCGGAGCCTCAGGTTTTCCCCTTTGTTCTAGGAAGTCTGTGTGTGTGTGTGTGTGTGTGTGTGTGTGTGTGCGTGTGTGCGTGCGTGTGTGTAATTATAACCCGCTTCCTTCCCATGCAATGGGTTTGATCCACAGCTCTTTTTAACCTCTTGCCACCAGCACACTCCAAAGCAATTTGTAAAGCAGTTTTTAAAAGGTCACTTAGCAGGGAACATCTACATTCACCGTGGCTCAGCAGGGCAGGTGCACACTTAATACAGGGGCTGTATATTTCAAATGAGCTGCACCAAGTGGAAATGCGGTGATTCTTTTATTCCCCAACACAAGGGGCAGGGGAGGCCCTCTCTATTTCTTTTTTTATATTCAGGGCTTCACATCTGCCAAAGGCTTAAGCCAAAACAAAAACAGGCGTAATAAAGACCCAACAAATCTCAGCTTTCTGCTTGAGAATTTCCAAGTTTTGCTTTCCCTTGACGGTTTTCAATATAGGAACTCAACCGGGTAAGGAATGTCACATGACTGCTCATCAAAAGATACCAGTGGAGTGAGCTGGTGCCATTGCAAGAGCAGGTACAATACCTACGGAGACTGTGTAGGAGATGAAGCAAAAAAGGATGCCGTGGGAGAGATGGATGGTTGGAAAAGACAGTGCGCATGTCATGGTGTGAGAGTGGGGAAGAAAAACGTTCATCCCTCCTTTGGCATCCTTCAGTACTGACGGATCTAGAGGAAGGTGCCTAGCAAGGTGGGTGGACGGCTTGTGGAGAGAGCTCATGGAGAATAGCTGCCCCAGGCAGACAAGCGCGGGTGGGTTACAAGATACGTGGCTGGGACCACAAGTCCACTGAAGAAGTTCTTTCTCCAGGAATGGGAGATCTGGACCTGGGATTCTGTCAGTTTAGACAATGTCTACTATGGAAACTTCCTCCATAGTTGTACATCTTATAGCACGGGCATCAGCATTAGGAAGGACCTGAGAATCAAACTAGTGCTATCCCCTCATCAGGTGACTTGCCTAATGTCACCCAAGTAGCACATGCACAGCTGGGCCTGCACCTCGATACTGGACTCCAAACCAGGCAGCCGTTCCCCATTCTGCACTCAGAGATTAATGAATTAGCCATGAACATGCCACTGGGGTGTTTCAGAGACATGGCCTACACCTAGACTACTGCAGCAGGCTGCTGGCTGGTCTGCCTGCCTGAGGTCTCGCCCCACTCCAGTCTATCCTCCATTCAGACACCAAAGCACAGGACTGCCCATGTCACCCCCCCCCATTCAATAAACTCCAGTGGCTCCCCATCCCCCCATCCCCTCCAAGATAAAATAAAAAACCTGTTTGGCATTCAAAGCCCCTCATAACGTAGTCCCTTTCCATTCTACAACCCCTTAAACGCTCTTTGTTCTAGTGAGATTAACCTCCTGGCTGCTGCGCAAATAATTCTCCATCACTTAACTCCAAGTATTTTCCCTGGCTGTCCCCGAGGCATGGATTTTCTCATCATCATCTTTATCTCCTGACTCCCTTCAAATCCCAACTAAATCCTGTCCCCTAGAGGAAGCTTTTGCCAGTCTCTCCAGATTCTAGTGCTTTTCCTCTGTTAATCATTTCCTATGTATCCTGTACATAGCTCGCTTGTACATAATGGTTTGCTTATTGTCTCCTGCACTGGATCATGGGGTCTTTGAGGACAAGGACAGTTGATTGGTTGGTTTGTTGTTGGCCCTTCTTTGTATCCTCAGTGCTTAGCACGGTTCTTGGTACACAGTAGGGGCTTAATAAATGCTTAATGACGAATTCAGATCCTTCTGACTCTGAGACCAGCTCTCTATAGATCCATTGGTATACAATGATCAAGGATGGCTTGATCAACACCCTCTGTGTCCCTTACCTCTCCCCTTCCCCTATGACTACACATTCACACACTCAACTCCAATAATGAGTTAAGGGGGAAAAGGTATTTGGTTACTTAAAAGAAACTGCCTCCCTAAGTGCTGAAAAAAATGCAAAGCAGGGAAACTGAAAATCCAATGGTAAAGCCTACTTGGAGGAGCCATCTCTTGAACTAAATATTCTTTTAAAGCTCTTGAAATACAGACTGGATGCCTACTTGTCAGTATGTTGTAGAGGGGATCTTGTTTGGGCTGTGAGTTGGTGGGCTGGACTAGCTGAACTTTGAGGTCCCTTCAATCTCTTTAAAATCTATGACACATCACTTAACCCCATTGCCTAGCAAAAAAAAAAAATCTATGAAACTTGGGGATGGATGAGGATGGACAAGAGAGCATTCTAGACAAGGGAACCACGTGAACAAAGAAAGGAACTGGGGAGAGGCCAGTATCACAGAATCACACATTCAGAGCTGGGAGGGATCCTAGAAACTGTCTAATCTACTGCCCCACTTAAAGAAGTGGCACCTGCCTTGGAAAAAGTACGGTGACTTGCCCAAGGTCACAGAGGCGGCATAGAGCAGAGCTGGTACTTCAATGCTGATCCTCTGCCTCTGTTGTGAAGAGTCTGTGCTACTCTCAGATTCCTGAGCATAAGAACGTCTGCTTTTCAAGACCGAGTATCAGCCTTTCTCAGTCTGTTTGTTTTCTTGTCCATTTAGATAACACACAGTTAAAAAGCAGTCATGAGCCAACTGCCAGATTCATTGACTTAAAGCTCATGTCTTTTATCTAATGTTATCTAGTTGAGGTTTGGGCAAAAGTAAGCATTCCCTATCAGAACTGCCAGCTCTTCCTATGTAGAATTGTTGTTTCAGTCCAGTGATGAACCTGGGGGTACTTGTCCTCAAAGTATAGCATGATGTGGTGGTGACTACAGTCTCCAGCTTGGGAGACAGCAAGACGTGAGTTCAAATCCTGTCTTCAATACTAACTAGATGCTTCACCACGAGCAAAGCCCTTAACTTTGCTGTGTCTCATTTTCTTCATCTGTTAAATGGGGATAATGCCACTCATTCAGCATGTATTTAAAACAAGTCTATTGAATGGAATTAGTGGTTTGGAAAGGGTCTGCACCATGGAAATAAAGGCTCTCACAAAACTTACTAATTCCTTAGTGACCCTTTCAAGGATTGGACTACAGCAACCTTAGTTTTCAGCAGCAAGAAAGTGGTGCATTTCCTTTCCATTCAATTTCTTGCCTTCCTATTAGCACAAGCTCTCTTTCGTGCCTGGAATGATTGAGCTTCCTCCTCGCTTCTGACATATAGAATCTCGGTTTGGTATTTAATGCCCTTAACAATATGTCTCTAGGTTTGTCCCACATCACTCTCTTCAGGTGCGCTCACGCTCCAGCCAAACACCTGACCTGCTATTCCATGTGCTACTGCCTCACAAACATCCCTGCCTTCACACAAACTGTTCCCGTGCCTCGGATGTACTCCATCCTCTCACCTCTATTGCTTAGAATCCCTACCCCCCTTCCAGACTCAGTTCGATACTGACTTTTATATGGGGCC